AAGCTCCGCGTGCGACGATGACGCGCCGTGCCCATGCCGGAGAGCCCCCAGAGCTCACAGTACAATCTCGAAGGGAGTGTCCTGCTGCATTACTAGAATTACGATTAATAACAATAATTAAATAATTTATTAATTTGAGCCACCAATTCCGGTTGTTCTAACAAAGAACCGCTGGTTATGGCTTGGGTGTTTCCGTTGAACCATTAACGTTACGAATACGCGGTAATTTATCTCAAGAAAGAATTCGGCAGAGGAGTGTGAGAAAAAAGCTCCTCGTTAACTCGGTTTAGTCTGAATTTAGAGGATTCATTTACATAATCCGGTGGCCAATCTGTACGCAAATGCACTATGTATGTACTTCTGGGGAATTCCTCAGACCGCTGCACCAATTTCAATGAATAACGAGGCAACTGGAAGTGTATGATGTGTATTACAAATAAATACATTTTCACTTTCTATTCAACTATTCGGCCAATTCAGCTCATCGGCCTCCCGGCACTGTTTATGCACTCTACTATTTAATTTAGAGGCCATGGCAAGTGATGCAAGCCCCATTCAAATTCATACAATGGATAGATGTGTGCAGGGGTTGCTCATGGGAGGGATGGGGGGAGGCGGCGGTGCTTGAGTTTAGAGGTTGGGATGGAGGAGGTGGCGGGGGGCGATACCCAGAAAGCTCTCCAGGTTATTTGTTGCCACTGAATCTCAACATCGAATCAATATCGGCGTCGCGTGACGAGGGCGAGTGCTGCTGCGAGTGCCAACCTCCGCCCCGAGGGTAACGCATGCGCAGCAGCAGCGGAAGGCGCCAGCAGAGGGCAGCGTCTAACAACAAACGGCAGCTTCCAGACAGTTTTCTCCGCGGCTCCCTCTCCGCACGTGCGTGCGCGTTTGGGTTGTGCCGCATCTGCTCGTGGTTCTCTCCATCTCACACGGCGGCTGAGCACGGGGCACCACCAAACGGTCAAAAGCGTCAACGGGATGGCAACAAACGGCGCTGTCGAGCCGCGACAGATGGGAGCGGCGCTACATTTTTTGAAACGAGCGAGATTGTTATTGTCAAGGGCTTTTGGCGGAAAGAGATGGTGGAAGGGAATTCAGAATCAAAATCTTTATCTATCCTGGAAATATCCGATGAGCTATGAAGCTCTTTTTCACAGATGTCCATTAGTATAGGAAAAGCAAGCCAATAACTCTAAATAAATGATAAACTCAAACGAAACTTTTTATTTTACCAGGACAGGCCCACTGAGCTATATAGCTCTGTTTTCAGAAGTGACCTGGCCACAAATGATGGACCAACGAAGTGGCTCATGTAGTGGAGATAGATAGCAGCCAAATACTCTTAATCCATGTTGATTCTAAATGTGGAAGGAAAAACCGGAGTACCCGGCTTACAATCCACACGACCACGGGGAGAAGATGCAAACCCCAAATATACAGCAGGCGTTACGGTCGGGATCGAACCCATGACGTCATGTATACCAGGCGAATTACTTACACTTTACCCCACCACCACCACCACGTGACATGCCGTTCGTCCAGCTGTGGTGAACCCCGTCAACACTGCTGTGTGCAGCACAGAGGCAGTGGTGGGGGGAGGCGGGACTCAAGAAACCTGCACCATTTTTTTCAACTCCCCCCCCCCACACCCCCCAACTTTCGATACATATTGCTTTTTTAATTGGTGCGGCATCTTATACTTCTTCCAATGCAGCCAACCTCATGCATTATTTACACCAACAATGCACTGGAAGGGCAGAGGGGGCTGTCTCTCCGTCCCGATCGGTGTAATCCAGCGGTCATAAAAAAAATTAACGTGGCGATGCGGTGCCGACAGTGACGCGCCAAGTGCCCAGCTCGAGCAGCGATACTCGACAGACAAGCTCCGTGGAAGGGGGGGTGGGGGCGAAACCTTAGCTGCATTAACCCAGGGGAGATGTATTATTCAAGGCTCGTAAAAACACGGGGAGGGGGGGGGGGGGGAGACCACAGGGCGTGCGGGGGGCGGGGGATAGCGGGCCCCATGGGGCGTGACGGCGTAAAATACGCCCTTCTCGCCTTGCTCTGCGCCCATTAGCGTGGGGAAAAAAACCCCACGGAGAAAGTTAAATTGCGCTCGTGGAAGGCCGGATAATGTAACGCTCGTATGAGGTGGAAAGTAACAACCTTAAATTCCATGGGTTCATTAATTGTTATAACGTAAAAACGTGCAGCCCTGCACGTGCTTGCTCATGCCACTGCTGCCACCGGATGGACCCCCCCACTGGATGGTATTTTGGCCGACTCTTCTACGCTGGCCACCAGACGTATTGCAAGAGGTGCGAGTACCCACACTTTACCCCACCACCACATTCTACCTGTCAATCGACTACCTCCGGCCATACCCATTGATAATTGCTGCTGTGCGGATAGAGACCAGCGGGAGGTGGGAGGTGGAATTTAAGAAACTTGCCAAATGTTTTGCTTCGACTGTAGCACGCGCCGGGAGATCGATCCAGCGACCTCCGGATCGCAAGTCCACGGTGCCGATCGTCACACCGGGGCAGCGTCCCTCGGGGCAGCACGAGGGCACGGCAAGCCGCCTGTGGCGCCGCCTCATCCGGGACATCCGTCTTCAAAATGAAATGGGCGAGCCACGGCGAATATGCCGTGCGAAGCGGGGGGCTCTCTCCCGCGCGTAATAACGAGGCCGCTCGCGTGTTTTCGGAACATTATGCCTAGGAGTGTGAAGTGGCACTTGCGCAACCGGAGGCATCCGGGAGATTATCACCTCGGGAAAATGTAATACAATTCGAAGATCTTGAAAAGTTTTAAGGTTCCTCAAGTCGAAAATTACAAAACGAAAGTGTAGAGGAGTATTGTGAGTAACCAACGAGGGGGCGAGATCAGAAGGAGAGGCGAGCGGGTTGACAGTCAAGAATGACGTAACGTCACGGGTTACGCAAGGGGCTTTGGAGAGCACCTCCGGGAACATGGGCGGAGCCGAGCCGGAGGGAGGAGCCACCCAAAGGGTTCTTAAGGGCGGCCCCGTGATGGAGGCGTCGTCGTCGTAGGGAGCCAGGGTAAGGATCGGCTGCAGAGGGTCTCTCCCTCCTCGTCGCGGAGCGGTGTTGGCTGAACCCTCGCTCCGGCCAGACGAGTGAGAGAGCCCATAGGGTAGCCGAGGTTAGGACCCAAATAGTATCCAGCGACCGTGAGAGAGTAGACCTGCACTGGTGTGAGCGTAGGATGTCGAGTGCGACAGTGTAGCCGTTATAGAATTCCTCATCTCGGCGTGGTTCTACTGCACTACAATAGTAATAACTTTCAGCAGACGGCCAATGCAAGGATGAAGGATTAACTATTACATTTTTTTTACCAGGCAAGGCCCACTGGCCTATATAGCCACAAATGATCTCAACGAAGTTGGCTTATCACGTGGAAATTGATAGCAGCCATATACTGTAAATGTGTGTTGATTCTAAATGTGGAGGGAAAAGCCGGAGGACCCAAAGAAAAATCCACGCGACCACAGGAAGAACATGCAAACTCCAAATATACAGCAGGCGTCAGGGTCGGGATCGAACCCACGACCTCCTGTATACCAGGCGAGGTAGTTAACATCTCGCCACCGTGGCACCCCTTAAAGTGAACCAATGACTCGTTTTGGAACGTACTGTACACGATCCGCCGGCTCCACCTCCCCGGGAGGCATAAACGGTTCAGCCGGCACACGTGTCCCACCAAGCGCCCCCACTCCCTCCACCCCCCCCAGCAACCCCACGGCTCGCTGATCAAAAACCACGCTGGAGGATCCGTCCCAGAGTGTGAGACGCAGTCACAATCCGCCCGGCGTACATAAGTCCACTTGACGTTTGCGCCGCTCGTCCGTGGGTTAGTTACTCTAAAGCGGAGCGCTCCACAGAGGGTTCACGCGCTCGTCCATCAACGCGTGAATCGCACATGCCTCGTCTGGACGCCTTTCTTCCACCAACACGCTCCCACCGAGACCAGTGCATGGCCAACCTTTGTACAAAACAGTGATAACGCCGCTATTTTATTGCCAAACACTGCCAGAAACTACCTTTCTGTCAACGCAAGAGCCGGGCATGAGGTCCGGAGAGCTTCCAGCACTCGGAGACAACCGACGTCAAGGCGGCTTCATCTCGCGTAACTCACTACGTGCCCTCATGGTGGTGGATTGTGGGTAACACGATATGAACCGTACAATAAACCACTTTAGTCTGTGCTCCTTCAACAGACAAAGAGCAAAACTAAACGAGCTCTCCCGAAGCCCTCTCGTGGCTAGCAGACCTCAACATCTGATTTAACAGAATTGATAACACGGACGAGCTTGTCTCAGCGCATGAATATAAAAGAACATCGAAACCGTCAGTCAATGGATCTCAGGCAAGCCTAAGATGTGATTTCAACCTTCCGAGTCGCATCAGCAATAGCGCCTGTTATTCCCCACAATCCACCACAAAAGTGCATAATGAGTTTCGTACTATGTTTATGAACATCGGTGAACGGACCCCACGGTGCTCGTGGAGTGCTCTTGCCAATAACAGCAGTCAACGCAGCAGCAGCATTTGTGTAACCGGCCACACTCAGAAAGTTGAACCCTATCCAGTGTCTGCCTGCTTAAGTAAATTGCGGACGAGATAAAAATGATTCAACCTACCAAAGGCCATTAGGCTGCTGAACCAAAACCTCATTTAACGGTCTCATTCAGAGATGAAAACAGACGCTGGTCATCTGCTAATCTCAAACGTACGGTCTACATCTCAGAAAACAGAGGGTTCTAAACGTGGTCCCACACGGAGACCTCCCCATCAGCAAACCAGAGCAGGCCACGGCCACTCGGAGTTCGCCAATGTCCGTAATGTTGGTGCCGACTCACTCGGCCGCACGCCTGGTCGCCCACCCGCCCACTCCCTCGACAGCGTCAATTCGACCAGTTGGTGTCGCCCACCCAGGCCCCACGCCGCCTGTGCCACCGGGGCTGGGGGCCTCACCTGCCGGCGAATGACGTCGAGGCTCTCCTGGGCTCGTGCCATCAGACTCGCCACCTTCTCAGGTTCCTGCAAGGTGCGGTTCTCCTGGAAGGCATCCTTCACCCTGCGCAGGGCGTACTCCCTGCACACACGCACACACACACACATCTCCATCTCGATCACTCACCGTCTCCGCTCCAGGAGGTTCATCAGAACAGTAGGAATCTGGGGGATGTTACAATTCGTTAATTCATTATCACGTTCTGCAGAAGGTTGTTGTTATTACTCCACTTGGTTACCCAAGAGTCTCCGGACTCCTTTTCAGGAGGGTCCTCCAAAGCTTTCGCTGTCGGGGGGCAGTGAGCGACACATCAGGCGATGGTCCTTCTCCTTCATAGCATAGACATTAAAAGGGCCACTTCCCAGACGTTGCCTACTATTTCCTTTTCCTCTTAAGACAGTGTTATTGGCCAATTGAGGAATGTGTTGGGTTTTTTTTCATGGACAACAAAACACTATTCCAGAGCCTTAATAGATGCGGGCATCAAAAAAATCTCACAAAGCCGAGACCTAAATAAAATGTTACATACCATCTGTACAATTGTAACGCTTACGCTGAGATTGCTTTCCGAAAGTACCAACAGATGAATATGAGAGGGGGAGTCTGGAAAGAGGGGAAATGCTTTCGCCAGGAAATGACAGAATAACTGAACGATTCAAGTGGGACTCAGGATATAGATGAGAGAAAAAAACACAAAAGTCATGTTCAACAAAGTTCACAGTTACCAAGGGCAATTACTGAGGGCAGTTACCGAGAAATGAGAGCAACATCCATGTGCCTAAAAGAAAAATGTTATGATCCGTGTATATAGTCAGTCACCGAGGAAAAACTTACTTGCCATGAAACACATGCTGAACCACCAACAAAAATTACACATGCCCATACCGGGGACCAGGATATTATTCGGCCATCCACTCTTGCATACATCCACAAAGCGGTGCTAGTTTTAGCGGCCCATTGGGCATTATGATGATGGAATTACTCCATCCCTGCCACTTTTCAATTGTGAACCGAGCCCTCTGGCTACACTAAAGATGCTGGCTTACTCCAGTGTGGTTAAACCTAAGATTTAAACTTAGGCTCTAAGTGGTACTGGCTCAACACGAGCATACAGCTGAGATGATGACAATGCTGACTGTCTTTTTACATCAATCGATATAGCTTAATTGTATTACAACAAAGTGTTATGATTCAACCACAACATCCAGTCAAAAGTTTGGCGGTAGCAACAGCAGCAGCAGGTCAATGTAAATTGCAGAGATCAAATCCTGCGCCAGGCCACCGCATCTGCTAGACGAGTGCAAGCCACAGTGTAAAGCTTCTCGTGTTTCAATTTAGAACGCACAGTGTGGGGCCCTGTCAAAAGTTCGAAGAGTGATTTCACAGAGGAAAAACTTTGGGCGAAAGCGGCAGTGAAAACGAATTAGGGGAAAACAAATAAGCACGGACGCGGTGCACTGCCCATCTCGGGCTCGGGCTACCAGACAGGCCGTTATGATCTGCGCCCCGATCTCGTCCCATGAGCGTAGCACAACTCTCCATATCTCAATCCCATGCTGCATCAGTGTCAAGCCTGACCACTTTAAACCACAAAGTTAGCATCTCCCCGCTCAAGTGAGCATGGGGCGAAAGTGTAAGTTCCGCACCACTATGGCAGATTACCAAATATAAAATAAGAGGGGGCAGAAATGTGTGGGGTCAATCAAACGTTTGCCAGCAGTCGTGCGAGGAAACAATTTCAGGGCTGGGAGGAGGCTCACTTGTGGGACTGGCTATACATGGCTTTTTTCTTTCATTTCGCTCTCTGAAACTGCAGCAATTTTCACCCCAAATCTTAGAGACTCTCTGAGCTGGACACAAAATCGTTTAGAAATTACTCAAGAACAACAACAGAGCTGGGGAAAAGGAAAAAATGCAAATTATATTTCCCGGGCCTTCTGTGCTGCTCATATTACATTTTTTCACGTATTTCACATCAAATTTTTCTCTCCCTTTCGAAATAGATGAGCGATAATTTTACAGCTAAGGATTCAATTTCTCAGGGCTGCATGCAATTTTGACTGCCGAGGGCTCCCCTGAGTATTGGCACTCGCTGTGCGATGGCAGTAAAAATTGCGGGATCGCTTAGATTTCCCAACAGGCAAATCCCACCACACTGAGCGATGTCAAGCATCTTAAGATTAACGCTTCCTAAATCGTTAGCAACACACGCGGGGCACTCGGGGCTCAACGCAGAGGTCAAGTCTGGCTGCTCCCCTCGTTGCCTTGAGCGAGGTTCTCGGCACAAGCCACTGCCCAATGCTGTAGGCTCAGTGTTCCGAGTTTGGACCGTGGTTATTAAAACGAATTGAGGTTTTAGTGTAAAAGTCAATTTGTATGCAATATTGCCCTCCACTACCAGTGGTTTGAGAGTCATCCAATCCAAGAAGTCATCACGGATAATGCCGTAGATGCCACTATGCCTCACCATTGCTTCCTTCCTTCTGCCAGATCCCATATCAATTATAGTTGATAAGACTGCAAAGGGCCGCTCTTATAGTCTTCTGCCATCTGGCATTCAGTCTTCCCCTCGGTCGCACGTCTCACAAAGTAATCCCAATTTTGTAGACCCCCGGAGGTCGATTCGCCAAGCTGACCTCCGACTAGGGTTTCCTTGCAGTGCCTTCTGATTATGAGTCTGGTGATCCAAACTATTTTTATTTTACCAGGCAACCATAATCTTTGGTTCTTTCGGTAAAGTCATGTAGGTATAAAATAAAATAAATCACGACGTTTCGGGCACAACACAAGCGTTCATCATCAGGTGGGAAAGCATGGTCTGCTGCTGAGGCAGACTGTTTGAAAAGGTTTGAAATGGGTGTAGCTCAAGGGTCATAAAGAAGTGGTCGGGGCTAGCGATGTTAATGTGAAAAATTAGCATGTAACTGTAAGATAGGAAAGCGGCCTCCTCGACGGGGGCACGGAAGTGGCTATGTTAATGTGAGAGATTAGCACGATGTTAATGTGAGAAATTAGAGGGCACGGAAGTAGCTATGTTAATGTGAGAGATTATCATGATGTTAATGTGAGAAATTAGAGGGCACGTAAGTAGCTATGTTAATGTGAGAAATTAGCAACATTAACGTCATGCCAATCCCTCACATTAACATAGTCACTTCTGTGCCCTCGTCTAGGAGGCCGTCTTCCTTCTTTTCTCCAGTTACATGCTCATTTCTCACATTAACATCATGCAAATTTCTCACATTAACATCACTAGCCCCGACCACTTCTTTATGACCCTTGGGCTACATCCATTTAAAACCTTTTAAAACAGTCTGCCTCAGCAGCAGACCATGCTTTCCCACCTGATTACGGACGCTTGAGTTGCGTCTGAAACGTCGTGATTAATTTTATTTTATACCTACGTGACTTTACCGAAAGAACCAAAGAGTATGGATTCCTGCAGTCACGAAAGCTTCAAATCAAGATTTTACCAGGTAAGGCCCACTGAGCTACATAGATATTTTTCAGAAGCGACTTGGCTACAAATTATAGCTCAACGAAGTGGCTTATGTCGTCATTTATAGCAGCCAAATAAACTAAACGAATATTTCTGAATGTAGAGGAAAATACAGGAGGTTCCAGAGAAAAATCCACGCAACCACGAGGAGAGAAACATGCAATTCCAAATATACAGCCGTCAGGGTCGGGGTCGAACCCACGACCTCCTGTATACCAGGCGAGGTAGTTGACATTTCACCACTGCGGCGCCCCAAGCACAGCTCCAACTGATAGCAATGAAAAAGACAAGAGGGGATCAAGGCTAAGATTTGACGCCACCACATCCTGCTACACTTCCTTCCTATAGATCTCTCAACTGCTGCACATGATTTCTAATATCCGCTCCTAGTCTCATCAGCCCTATACCCTGATACTTTAGGTCTTCCCCTTGTAACAGTCGACACGTCCGTCGAAGAGCATGCTTAGTCTCATCATCACGACCTTGGTCTGGGTGCCACTCCCAATATCCGTCTCAGTAACCTGCCCTCCTTCACACGCATACCACCCATCACAAATGCCTCTTGCTGTTTATATATCTACGTGGATGACTTAAATGCAAGGATAGTGTCATACACACAAAAAGCACGTGAGAATACATTTTTTCGATTCGTGTATGATGTAATGGTTGTGTGACCCGTATAACCAGAAAGGTCATTATTATAGATCTCGAAAGGTAAGCAGAGTTGAGTCTGCTCAATGTTGGGATGGGGAAACGGAATGAGAATACCAGGCGTTGCAGCCTGGTGCTGCAACGTGGCCGGGAAATGACAGCACACCAAATTATTCCTGCAGCTATTTGCGGAAGTTGAAGGGCTAACCCTGTGTGAGAGTGCGTGTGGCAGGTTTTCTCCAGGTAATCCAGTTTCTTACCAGCCCAAACGCTCACTATGGTAAAAGACATTTCCAACCATCCCAATGCAGGACCCTCACGCGTCTGGGGACTCCGTGAGGCTTCCTGGATAAATCAAGGGCAATGTTATGATAATACCCACACTTGACTTTCAATAAAGCGGTACCTGTTGTTTTTTGGGCTAGAAGCGTGATATTAATAGCGCTAACGATACATTTAAACAGCAATGAATGTGAAAAGACTGCTAATAATTCCGACACGATCTGGCACAACTGATAAATGACGACAGTCAAGGGCACAAGGAATGAGACAATGACGTCTCAAAAATGGCTCGGGCCACAAAGCCACAACAAAATTGGGAGTTGTTCATCGACCAGGGAAAAATAATACATGAAGTCAAAAAAGACGTATGGCTCCATCAATCCATTCCTGTTAAGAACCCTGAGACGCCATTGGAAAGGGCATTCGTATGTCAGTGGATAAGTAATCATAGAAGCACATGTTACGTACTACGAAGTGTAAATCTGTTGAAAGACCCGGGTGAGGTGAAGATAATGGTAATAATGATGCCGGCATTATTGATATTGCGTACTTTATTAATAGTAACAGCGGGGAGGGCAGGAGGGGGATCGTTGGCTCCGCTTTGAGGTCTTTGTGCGTGAATGGCGCTATGCATCTTGTGCCGTTGTCGACTTATAACGCCACCGATGCGGGTCGCGGGTGCGTTGTGCAGTGCGCCAACCACTGCGCTCCACCACGACCTTACAACACAATCGGCACCAACCGCAAACACCGACTCTACCCTTGCACCCACCACACGTCAACAGCAACATCCGCCACAAGGGAGTGAGCAGCCGATACAAGCGCGACCCTCGTCAAGGGTAGAGACGCACACGTCCCACTCGGCGCCCTATCGACAGCATAGGCCTCATCGCGAACACCAAAGCGCCCGGGGTGCCAAGAGCGCGAATCCCGGCGCTGTTCCACCACCCCGCACACCCGACCCGACCCGAGCCCCCCCCCGCACCTGTAGCTGTAGCTCGCGAAGCGGCCGCTCTCCCGCAGCAGAGCCTTGTACAGCGCCAACACGCGCGTCCTGCTGGGCGCTGCCATGACACCTTGGCGGGGTCCTTCAGCTGCGAGGACGCAGGGCTGGGGCGGCCGCGGCGATTGCCCGATTTAAAGGGGACGCCGCGATGCGACGGTGGGGTTTATACGCTGCGATCCATACTTGCGAGCGCAACGTCGTTTTTATTTTTAGCGCGCCGATCAATCGGCCGTAAACGCGGGTCTGGGGGTGGTGGTCTTCAGGGTGATCGGAGATTCGCGATCGCCACATTCACGGCGGGCAGCCCGGCGCGTGACGTCACCAGCCGCGGGGGGGGGGGGGGCGACACGCGGGGGGGGGGGGGGCGACACGCGGGGGGGGGGGGGGGGCGACACGCGCGGCTCAGGTGGGGACGCGAAGGCCGCCGCCGCAGCTGCTGTCGCTGTTGTTGTTGTCGTCGTTGTGTAACAAAGTACAGCGGCACTTGCTCAGTTCCACTGCTGGATGAGCTGTCGTTAATTATCCAGCTTTAACCTATGTCCTAAACAGTCGCGTGTACCCCCCTTGGCTCTGTTTTAGTCGTTGCGTACATGGCAGCGGCAGTATGCTCGAGGTCTGATCGGCAAGAGCGAGCGAGCGAGCGAGAGGGCTTCGGGAGAGAGTCCAGTCCGTGTGGTCGCTTCGCTCTTCCGCCTCCGCTGCAGGAGCGCAGACTCCGGGGGGTTTAACTGCGCGGTCCCCAGTTCGCGTCGCATGGCCACAACCGCAACACTGGCGCTTCTCTTCCAGTTGACATCCACGAAGGAGAGGCGCGCGTCTCGTCACTCGCCACTCATCATCCTCATCATCCTGTCGCGACCAACAGAGTTGGGTGACGCAGTGGCGAGATGGTAACTAGCTTGCCTGATACTCAACAAGGAGGTCGGGAGTTCGATCACGACGACGACGATGTTTGGAGTCTGCACGTTCTCCCCGTGGTCGCATGGATTTGTCTCCGTGTCTTCCGGTCTCTCCCTCCGCATTTAGAATCAACATGCGCCCAGAGTATCTGTCTGCCGCTTCGTTGAGCCATCATTTGTGGGCAGGTCGCTTCTGAAAAAGAGCCGTATAGCTCAGTGGGCCTTGCCTGGTCAAACAAAATAACAATTGTTTATATTTCCCGTGAACTTCGCCCATTGATTCCTCGTACTAGATTCGAAGCTTTCCGCATCTCATGTTGAGCACTTGGCATATCAGTGGACTGTTTCGTCTCATGCAGTGTTCCACCAGCACCACACGACATGTCAAAACGTTTTTCTTCCCACGCACTGAGCGCCTTTGAAACTCCTCGCCATGGTGACTTTCCCCAAGCTCTTATAGCCTTGCTCAACGCAAGAAACGTGTTCTTTCATATCCATTACAACCTTGAAGGGGCTGTGTGTTGTTGGACGTTTGATGGTTTGGGTCCTTTTGGCCTACTGGGCTCAGAAATTGTGTGTACAAAAAGAAACCCCAACAACTTGATTCACAAAACAGCAGCAGCAGCAGACTTGACGGAATTTTGCAAAGTGCTGATGTCTCTCGTTGGGTGTGGGTTGGATACGACGAATGAAGGGATTATGGGACGGTGGTCAAATGTGTATATGGATAGTCCTCGACGTAGGAAGGCCTTCCGTTCGTAAGTCGGACTGCCCTTAAGTCGGGCGTTTGTAAGTCGGAGACTGCACAAAATAATTGTGAAAATTCCCCACCGTCTCTTCAGAAAATTCGAGTAAATCGCAACCGTGATGGGGATCCGCTGTTGTGTGTATTTAATCAACCATTCAAACTTTATTCCTTTAAAGACGACTTCATTAAACCATGGCACATTTTCGTAAATTAGTATCCTCGGGGCCTTGTGCGTCGTGTTATTTGGTGGCTCGCATTAACGCCGGGATTTTCACGTTTGTCCTGTTCCAGGTGATGCTCGTGACGCTTTCGCCATCTCCTTTTAGGGCAGCAGCTGCCCCAGCCCTGCCCCCGTTAGGACTCCGTTAATTGGCATTGATCAGCTCTACAACATTTACAGCTCATTGCCGCTCAACTAAGTTAACTAAGGCGTATGTATAACATATGTGCTGTAGTGACCAATGATTGTCAACGCTGCCAATAGGTACGTTTGAATTGTTAACGGCTTATTTTTTTTTCGGATCTAAATCGGCCACACTTATTTTACACCCGCAGACCACTACCTCAAGATTGTTCCTCGGATTAAAAAAGAAATAGTCACTGTCATCGCTCGTCACACGAATCCTTTGTAAAGGCTAGGAGCAGTGTGCAGGAAGGTGCTTCGAAAAAAACAATCGGGGCAATTAGTAATTATTTACGCGAGCGGAATTACAATTCAGGCTGTTTCTCAAACCTCATTCGCTGCCACGATTCCTCGCCGCCCTACCCACGGCACATCGCTCTCCACAGAACCCGGGCCCGCACTTAACGCCTGCGATCAAAGAACTAAAATCAAGAGATGAGCGTAGGCGGGCGGGTAAGCTTTCCTGGCGCGTGGCGGTGGAACACTCACTCGCGGTGGGGGGCCTGGCGGCAGCGGAGGGCCGGGGAAGCGGGGGGCGCCGTGACGGCGCCGTGGCCGGCGCGAGCGCATTGCTCGGAGCGGGACGGGCCCCGGGGTGGCTCCGTCGCAGTGCTGGGCCGCTCATACGAGACGGACGATGTGACCAACGTGACGCCGCACATCCTGGGGCTTGTCGGGCGGCAGCTGCACAACCAGGAGCACCACCCGCTGTGGCTCGTCAAGGAGCGCATCAAAGGTGCGCGGCGATCGGGGGGTGTTCACTCGCCGTCAGAGAGCACTTAGCACTCGGCACCCGGTATTAATTAACCAGCACCCAGCACAAATGGCACCAAGCGCTCAGAATTAAATATTCACTGACCAGCATGACAGCATTCAATTCTTACCAACCAAAAATCAATAGCTACCACCCAGAATCCAGTATTCAATACCTACCTCCCACAAATTAAATTCCTTCTAGCCAAAAAATGTAGACGTCTGCGCGTAGTCCCTAGCATTCCATAGTTAGTACCCAGATTGTAATTCACGCAACTACTCAGCATTCAGTGCACAGCATTCAATATGCTGAATTCAGTGCTCGGCATTCAGTACCCAGCACTCAAGAGCTCCTGCCCAGCACTCTCTTCCCATTCTCGAGCACTCTCATTAGCACCACGCTCGCTGGAGCAGCGGTAACAAAACATTTTCACGTGCAGTTTTTCTCCGACCTCGCCGTTTTTTCTGCCACGCATTGAAAACACAACCTTGCTCAAAACAACACAATTGGCAGCAGCAACAACAACGACAACAACAACAAAATCCCTTTCCTTATTTCTGGCGAAAGGAAAATTATTATCGCCGCGGATAATTTCACCGCGCTCACGGAATTGCGCCGGCCTCGGCGCACAATTTATGCGTTGAGCCGCGACGGGTGAACCGGCACACCTTCATTCTGCCGCCCACGTCGCCATTAAATATTCACCGGTGTTGTCTCGGCTCCGATTGCGTTTCGGATGCGCTGCCGAGGTACGCTGCTCGGGAATAATTAAGCAGCTATTCCTCCTCCTCCCCCTTCCTCGTGGGCTCCAGAAACTCTCGCTCCTTCCAGGTTTGACTCCCCGCGTGGCAGTAAAATATTTATTAAGGCCATTGTCTCGTCCAATGCCTCCCCTAGGTTGGCTCGGCCTGGAACGAGCACCTGGCACGGAGAGTTTGATTCACACGAGCGCGCACGTACGAGCACGCGTGCTTAAATTTGTCATGGGTGTGAATGTTTGTGCGTGAGTGCATCTGTGCATCAGTACACATGTGTTTGTGCGCATCGGAGTATGTTGGGAGTGGAGACGTCCTGGTTAGTACATTTTTCTACCAACCCAGAAATTTGAGTGGGGCAATGGTTAGCGCAATGCATAATGAAACCAACTACTAGTTATGGGCCTCCCCTAGGTCGACTCATCCTTAAATTAGTTCCTGGTGCCATGTGCAAACAATCAGCGCTGGGGGAGACAAAGGCAGTCAGGCATCGGACAGGCCACACCAGCCCCTTGTGCGCCGAGCCTGCCGTAAGTGCTCTCTAACAGCACTTGCCCCAACAGTGTGTACGGCTATTGGGGGGGGATCTTTATCTTCATACGGGCACGTGCGTTTGTGTGCAGCACGCAAACTAGGGCCCACAACCATACCTGGGCCCCAGTGCCGCATTCTCAAAACGGCGCTTATTAAAATCTCGCTCAAACTCGCGTCGGAATAAAAACATCGGCGCGAGAAAGTGACGCACGCGCGCCTCCGCCGGCATCTGGCACGCCATGTGTCTCTTTCAGGCTGAGCTGACCTGAGGGAAGACCCTGGCTGGCTGCATCTCTCAATTAGTGGCAATTACTACACGAGGCACGCCCCAGCACAGTCTGCTCAAACTTACACATGAGTCGGGGGGTGGCGGGTTGGGTGGGTGGGTGGGATCTTGAGGAGAGGGAACTGACAGTGTCTTTCCTGCCGTCCCCGGGTTGAGCGATGATGCGACGTACGTCGCGCAGCATCCGCTAATTGCCGCGTCGCCTGGTCTTGCGCTAATGACGTTTGGAAACTCGTGAACGCGTGCGCGGGGGGCCCTGCGACAGTTGAGAATGACTACGCCTGCATTGACAGCCTCTTTGAAGTTGCGTTAGTCTTTTTTGAGATATTTCTCAATGCTTCCGTCTCCTTCTGTTTGATCGGAACGATCGAGCCGTTGTCGACCGACCGCTCGATAGAGGCCTCCCCATGCCATGTGGGGGGCGTGGGGATTGGGTGGAGAATCTCGCAGCACGCGATGACCTCTGTGTGATCTACCAACCCCACCTGTGCTGGCGTGATTGTGAGCGTGCGCGCACCGGGAGAGGGAGGTCAGCTGGTTAAAAATGTGGCCACGGGAGGATATTTGCTGTACCAGCCTTCATGGATCCCCTTTGCCTACTCACAAAGGGGGGGGACCCCCTTTGGCTACTCCGCATGGTTCCCCTTGGCTCCTGCACATGCGTCCCCCTGGCGACTTGGCCCTGAACTTCAACATCTTGCCCCTAATGTGGATAAAGCAGTCTATCGGAGTGGTCCGAGAAGCCGTGGCCATCTCTTGAAAACTGAATTAGCTTCCAGCACGTTGGCGCGAAACGTCAGACATCACGCCTAACTATGCCTAACTACGCCTAACAGTACATCCCGTAAATGCATCGGACACCCGCGCAGCGGCACAGCCAAGAAAGCCTCCGCAGTAGCATTCGGCTCGAAAATTCGTAATATTTTTACTTTGTTGTGTTTTATTCGTTCAAATATTTCACCTGTAAAAATCCCCCGTTGATGGAAAATATCGTTTGCAGGGGTGCCCAGGGAGTCGCCCGACTCACCCATAGCAAACAAGTAATGAAACGTACACAGTCGATTGAACAACCGTCGCCACCGCCGTTGCCACGTGTTTCCCTCGCCCCGCCACCCCCTCGCCCCCACTGGCGCCGCCGGCCACCGCGCGCCGCAGACTTCTTCTACAAGAGTTTCACGAACCGGCGCGGCAACCCGCTCTTCTCGGTGTACGACGCGCTGCCGCCCGTCGTGACGCTGGAGCAGAACTTCGACAGCCTGCTGGTGCCTCCCGGCCACCCGAGCCGGCGGCGCAGCGACAGCTACTATGTGAGCGGGCGCCACATGTTGCGCGCGCACACGTCGGCGCACCAGCGCGACCTGGTTCGCTCCGGCCTCAACGCCTTCCTGGTGGCGGGAGACGTGTACCGGCGAGACGCCGTCGACTCCACGCACTACCCGGCCTTCCACCAGCTCGAGGGCGTGCGGCTGTTCGACCGCCACTCGGTGAGATACCAGACACCTCCCTGCCCCCGCCCGCCATGTAGCCCGGCTCTTGTCTGTGGGTTGACCTCTCTGGCCCTCGTAGATGCTTGCTAACAGCACTTGCCCCAACAGTCGTCGTTAAGGCTATTCGGGGGTGTCTTTGTGTGTGTGTTGACCCCTGCGTGGGGAAAGGTAGTGTAGCGGTTGGTGCGTTGCGTTATGAACCCGGCGTGCTGGGGGTGGCGAGTTTATTCCGAGCTCCGCGATGGGGAGCGACCGCTCTGCCGCAATCATCCCTGGTCTAAACGCCCCCACCCACCCACAGACTCACCCATGTGTGTTGTGTGTCAGTGCGTGTCGGTGTGTGTCAGTGCGTGTCACTGTGTGTCAGTGTGTGTCACTGTGTGTGGGGAGCAGTAGTGTAGCGGTTAGCTTGCTGCACTATGAACCTGGCGACCCGGGTTCCGTTCCCGATCACAGCCAACATCAGTGGCGATTATCTGAACCGGTGCTTGACCTCCCTAGGTCGACTCAGCCTCAAATGAGTACCTGTTGCAGTGTGTAAACATCGCCACTGGGGAGACAAAGGCGGCCGGGCATGGTGTTGGCCAATCACCCCCTCGTGTGCCGTGCCGGCCTTTATAGGTGCTACTCGCTAACAGCACTTGCCCCAAGAGTCTGTTAAGGCTTCACGGGGGATCTTTGTGCGCACCGCAGCTGTTTGCGGAGGTTCAGGGCTCAGGCGCGGAGGACCTGCGTCTGTTTGAGAGCGGCGCGAGGAATCCACTCAAGCAGGAGACGCACACCATGGAGGCTGTCAAGCTCACCGAGTTCAACCTCAAGGAGACGCTGCAAGGCCTCATGGGATACCTCTTTGGGGAAGGTGCAGGCCTAAAAATATTGCTTTTGGGATTTGTATCATTACCAGCATTAAATCAACTTCGGTCGCACCAAACATCAGCTTTCTATCCCTTCCCTCTGAAACCCAAATGGCCTTTGTGTGGATTTAATCAGCACGCTACCAAACAGCTCTTCTCTCTAATCTGCAGCTTTTAACTCAGCACTTGAATGTTGTGCACGCAATCGCGACGCTGTGAGCTGGGAATGATCTGGCATCCATTCCTTGATGAGTCTCTCCCCTCTCAGTCATTCGTTTGCAACAAACCCAATTCTCTGCGATTGTTTCTAATCCCATTTTATACTGTCCCTGATCTCACTTCTGCACCCCGTTTGCGAAAGTATTGTTAGTGTTTACCGATGGAATGCAAAGTTTTCCTTTCAATAATGAATTCTCACATTCAACCACTCAATGTCTCATTGAATCAATCAATCTCTGATTTAATCATTCAATCATTCTCATGCAATTGCTCATTCACCCATTCAGTAATTTAGTATTTTATTTTCAATCATTCATATTAATTTACTCAATCATTAATTTAAAAATGAAATCTTGCAATCGCTTATTCAATCATCCACTCAATCATTCATTATCTCATTCAGTCACCCAATGAATAAATAATTTTCCCACGCAACCCTTCAGCCTGTCTGCTTGCTTTGACAATCTGTGTCTATTGCCATTGAGCCTCTAAAGCTTCCCCTGTAGATCTCTTAGCTCTGTGCGTTTCGCTCTAAATTCCACTGGGCCGCTGTCACCGGCTGACCCAAGGTAATGTTTTCATCCGAGACTCGCTTTCTCGTTGGGTCCTCACCTGGAGAAACACAATCAATGATGGAACCACGCTTGTGGGCAGGAGACCGACAGACCGTAGCATTCCAGTGGATGGATGATGGCTGATCACGAGGATAACGATCGGTGTTTGGCGCGAGTGGCCACTAGATTTCAGTTCAGTCCAGGTAACGGCATTGGCGCCGTACTCTGTGCCGGGTGTTGCCAGCCAAAGTTTAACCGCTCGTCCGCTGCTGTGCTGCGCGGGGCAGGCGTGCAGTGGAGGTGGGTGGACTGCACGTTCCCCTTCACACACCCCTCCTTCGAGATGGAGGTGCTGCACCATGGCAGCTGGCTGGAAGTCCTCGGCTGCGGAGTCATGGAGCAGCGGATCCTGGATGGCGGTAGGAGCATCGACACAATGGCAGTGGCTGCAGTGCCACTCGGATCCGCTTGGTAGAAATACACCCCACGTGGCTCACCCCACCTCCAATCCGTTCCACTTAGATGCAATCCAGTTTGCCATTAAAAGCCAGTACCATCAACTTTACAACACTCCGTTCTACTAAAACCCACACTGTTTTGGTCCATGTATTCCGTTCCATTCCGCTTCACTGCACTCTACTCCACTCCATGTTGTTGCGATACTGCATGGTGACGATGCAGTGCTGGAACTCGGAAATCGAGTGCCCCGCTTCGGTCTTGTCGGGTAGTGGAGGGGTTAACGGAAAGACTTCTGGCAGAAAATTACCACCATGTGGCCGAATCCAAAAACACAGTCTGGATAAAGGTTCACATCTGTCATTACCATCGGCAACAATGATGCTGGATGAAGGCCTACCTAATGATGTGAATGTTTTTATAATAAATAGCAAACACCCATTAAATTAATACCATTGCCATATAGCAATGTGGATGTCATCGTCAGCCAAGATCGATCCTCTGCTGGATGATAAAGGTCTCAAGTTACGGTCTTCGCTTACTTGCAATCTGCGTCTGTATCCATTTTATCGATGGGTATAGCCTCTAAATAGGAATGTATTTTCGCGATGGCGTACATACAGAACAATTTACATCAACATTAAAACACAATTTATATATTTTTATATATTGTTGTCCTTCCCTCCAACCTCCGATTAGCACGGTTTGCGACGCACGGTGGGAAGGTTCAACATACATACATACTGCACTATAAACTACTATATACTACACGACTATACACTAGTTTACACTACACTATACATTACACTACTAGACACTACATCACTATACTATATCGAAAACTCATCTCTTTAGAACTGCTTTTTGTGTTTGGTTTGTTGCCTTTCCCCCGCAACTCCAATTAGCACGGTTGGCTATATACATTGTTCTCCGTGCTGCCAATACGTTGGTGATGTCTTGGCAGATGCTTGGCACAGTGTGAGCTGACAGCAACCTCGCTCGATTTCCGAGTTGAATCACCTCAAAGAAGCTGAAAGTAGTTTGAGCAAAACGTTGTACGTTGGTGTTGAATCCAGGTGGGAAAAGTCTAAAGCCACCAGTGAAGAGATTGATTGGTCAGAATTTGAATGAACGTGTTGGCTACGTATAAATAACATCGTATCAAGCGTGGCAATCTTATCGGGTGTGCAGAAGGGTTTAATGACGATAATTTTGGCGTTAAAATAAAAAAACACCACTACCACGTGGCCCAACCCAAACACAAATATGGATCATCATTGCACTGGCTACGAAAACCGACATTTTGATCACCGCTTGTTGCTTGCCGCTTGGCATTTTGAGTCTTTGGGCCTGTGCTTGGCAAACTGTGAAGAGAAAAAAAGACAAGAAAAATTGGTACCCCGATCGTGGAGTTGAACCCACGGACCCAGCTCGGCGGTTGGGCGTCGGTCCCGCGAGGCTTCGCCGCCACGCCGGCCCCGCGGTGGGCGCGGCCGCGTGACGGGCGTCCCCGCGGCGACCTTGCCGCCGGTTACTGATTGCGCCGCGGTGGCTATTGGCATCCACGAGCGGGACATTTGTACCGGAGGACGGGCGCGGGGGCGGCGTGCTGGGGGGTTGCGAGTTTATTCCGGGCTCCGCGATGGGGAGCGACCGCTCTGCCCCAATCAGCCCTGGTCTAAATGCCCCCATCCACCCACCCACAGACTCGCCCGTGTGTGTTGTGTGTCAGTTTGTGTCAGTGTGTGTGTGTGTGGGGAGCGGTAGTGTAGCGATTGGCGCGCTGCACTAAGAACCTGGCGACCCGGGTTCCATTCCCGCTCACGGCCAATGCCCGTGACGATTATCTGAACCGGTCCTGGGCCTTTCCTAGGTCGACTCAGCCTTAAATTAGTACCTGCTGCGGTGCTGGCCTCCCCTAGGTCCACTCAGCCTCAAATGAGTACCTGGTGCGGTGTGTAAACATCGCCACCCCCTCACCATGCCAGCCTTTATAGGTGCTCGCTAACAACACTTGCCCCAACAATCTGTTAAATGCTGTACGTGAGACACCTTTGTCATTGTGGGATTGATATAGCAGCGGTTAGTGCTCCACACGCCAGAGTTCGATTCCCACTCATAGCCAAAATTGGTGACAAATATCTGAACGGGTCCCGGGCCTCCCCCTAGATCTACTCAGCCTTAAATGGGTACTTGGTGCGGTGTGTATAAGCATTGAGGAGACAAGGGCGAGTGGGCAGATCACTGGCCACACCACCTCCTTGTATGACGTGCAGACATTAATAGGCGCTTCATAACAACTTGCCCCAACAGTCTGTTAAAGGCTCTATCGGAGCGAGGGTGTGGTGTGTGTGTGTGAATGTGCGTATGTGTTGTGTGTATATGCCTGTGTGCATGTGCCTGTGCGTATGCTTGTGCGTACGTATGTGTGTGTCCCTGTGCGTATGCTTGTATGTGCATACGTGTGTGTGCGTATGCTTGTGCGTGCATATGTGCGTGTGCCTATGCGTATGCTTGTGCGTACGTACGTGCGTGTGCCTGTGCGTATGCTTGTGCGTGCGTATGTGTGTGTGCCTGTGCGTATGCTTGTGTGTGCCTACGTGTGTGTGCATGCGTATGTGTGTGTGCACGTGTGTGTGGTTTTCTTAAACAGCCGCTTTCTATCCGAGATTGGATTTTTTTCCCCAAATCAATTGAACGGAGCTGTCCCAGTTTAAAATAATATGAAGGCGGATAAATAAATAAATAACCATCACTAACGGAAGGTCACCTCGGGAGGCCTTCATCCGAGCATGTTTGATTTGCCGTGCACTCCTGTGTTCACGAGAAACTGCATGTTGGAATCTCAATGGTACGGATAAATACTGCCCATCGCTTTTTATTTTCAGTTTTAAAGGCCTGTAATGTTTCCCTGCTGTTTGATTTTAGCTGGGTACGTTCAATGTGTGAACGCGTGAGAGAATAGGTGAATGCGTGAGTGAATTAATGAGTTACTGACTCAGTGAGAGAGTGACTAATTGAGTGAGTGAATGGGTTAAATGCGTGAGTGACTGAATGAGTGGGTTACTAATTCAAGGAGAGAGTGGCTAATTGAGTGAATGTGTGACTGAGAGGGTTACTAAATCAATGAGAGAGGGTGAAAGCGTGGGCGATTGAGTGAGTTACCGATTGAATGACGAGTGGCTAAGCGAGTCAGCGAACGAATTAACGATTGGGTGAATGAATGAGTAGTTCAAGGAGTGAGCACGAGTGGGTTAGTGACTAATCGACTGAGTTAGCAAATAGCACGGGGTGGGTGAGTGAATAAATACGTGAGAGACTGCATGTGTCAACGAGTGAATAAATTACTACAGTAAACCCTCGCTAAGCGAGAGTTCTGGATTCGAGGGTTTTGCATATTCGCGAGTTTACTAAGAGTTTGACAACTCCCTATTCGTGACCCGCCAGACTCCAGTGTTGGTGAAGCGTCAGACACCCGACACCGGGGAGGTGCGTACAGAATGTTGTTACATTTTAAACGGTCAGCGAAGATTAGGCACACTCCCTCGGCTGCCTGCTCAGTCATCAGTCTCGCAGTAAGCCGACTCTGAACTCGCTATTGTGCAGTTTTACGTCATACGTACTTGAGTTTTACAGACTCGTTTATACATTTTAGTATGAACGAGTTGACTTGTGAGGTCCATTAAAAGAAGGCGAATGCAATCGGGGAAAGTGTTGCGGCTAGGGCTCTCCGGAGTGCTAGCATGATAACAGCTGTGCAGTGTTGTCAAACGCCGGCATCTTCCGAGGAGTCATCCTCCTGAATTCCTCACCACCACCTCCATGTCGTCAAATCATTATCATCAAAGGTAATACAAAAAAACACATTGTTCTTTATAATTTATAATGTATTTATTGTAGTCATCGTTTTTAAACATTTACCATTCCCCCCCCACCCCCCCATGTTCACTCGTACCAGGAACGTAACTACATTTTTCCCATTGGAGCGAGTCTTCTGCGCTCACGAATTCTGCATTCGCAAGCATTGTCAAGAACGTGACCCTCGCGGTTAGAGAGGAGGGTTTTATAGTATGTGTATGATTGATTGAGTGAAGGAGTGAATAAATGAGTGGGGTGAGTGATTTTGTCAATGGGTGTGAATGAATGGGTAAGACGGTGAACGACTATGAATTTGTAAACAATTGAGTGAATCGGTGGGTGAACGAGTGAGCCGTGTATGTAAATGAATGCATAAAAACAAGGAATTGCCATTGCGAGTCACCACGCACACACGGACTGAAGGACTGCGTGGGTAAATGAACGATTGAATTGACGAGCGAGTAAATTAATTAATTTGTGGATGAGTGACTGAATGAATGAGTGGATGAGAATGAGTGAGCGAATGAATGGGTTCGTGATTTAATGAGTTTCCCCCTGTTGCGTGTGCGAAGCGGGAGCTTGGTGGTGTGACTGAGTAAATTGTTGAGTAAATAAGTGGATGAGTGACTAATTCGAATTATCTCTCCCTGTCTATGCTCAGTGGGGGCGACGGACCGCACGGTCGGGGTGGGTGAATGAGCGAGTGGATGAGCAAGTGACTAGGAGTGGATGAGCGAGTGGATGAGCGAGTGACTAGGAGAGGATGACCTTTCCCCATCTGTGCTCAGCGGGGGCAGCGGACCGCGTGGGATGGGCGTTTGGCGTGGGGCTGGAGCGTCTCGCGATGGTCCTCTACGGCGTTCCCGACATCCGCCTCTTCTGGAGCTCCGACGAGCGCTTCCTGCGGCAGTTCCGCACCGACAGCATCCACACAGCCATCCACTTCCAGGTCAGAGGGTGGCCCCGATATGTCAGCTGCCTTGCCTGGTGTACACGAGGGCATGGGTTTGATCCCGACCCTGACGACGCCTATTGTATATTTGGAGTTTGCATGGCTCTCTCTCCCCGTGGTTGTGTGTATATTTTTCTCCTGCTCCTGCGGTTTTTCCCTCCACATTTAAAATCGACATGCGTTTTAGAATGTTTGGCTGATGTAAATGTCCACGTGATAAGCCACTTTGTGGCCAGGTTGCTTCTGAAAAAGAGCGATATGGCTCAGTGGGCCTTACCTGGTAAAATAAAAATAGTAAATACGAGAAGTGGCAATGCATCTGTCTGTCGATTGCCACCAATTAATATTTTCACGAAGTGCACAGTGAATCGTGCATGTAAAAATATATTACATATGATTTATGCAAATTATATGATAATATGACATGTAAACTAATGGGCCGAACGACAGAGAAAAATCAAAATAAACGAGACGGAAAATAATTAGAACAAACACTATTATCATCGAATTCGCGATCCTGAGATAAGTCAAAGCCATTTGATTTGTTAATTATTCATACGTAACTGTACAAGTGTTACAAATTGTACCAAAGACCGGCTTGTGTTCATTGAGCTGCAGCTGAAGAATGTTTAATCAATCTATTTCGTACCGGAGGTGCACCAAACCACAAACACAATACAATAAAAATGCAAGACAGTTACAAAGTTAAGGGACACCAGTATCGCGGTGAAGTCCTATCGTGAAATTGAATATCATATCCGCACCGTGAAAAATGACATCGCGGGCAGCGCCAGTTGCAGGCGTGTTGCGGCAACATGACAGTGGCATGACGGCCGTGCTCTTTAACACGCATGACGGTCACGAGAGCAGTCTCACGGTGACGTAACTCTTTCCTGTTCCAATGGTGGACACGTACGTACATTCACGCACATCATCGCGACAGCCTTGCTAAATACAATGTACGCTCACCGCTCGCGCGTTACGAGATTCGGCGGTAAACGGGACCCCTCACCCTGCCACTTGCAATTGCCTCGGTAACGGTGAAGAGTCTTCTCATTTGAGTGAGAGGGCAGCGGAAAAGCAGCGCATCTAACCCCATTGTTGTACTGTACTATGTTCCCATGTCTTCCCCTCCCCCCCCCCGCCTTCAACCAGCACTGACCATTGCAGTAAAGTACCGTCAATTACCTATGGGAGCTTTTTGCCAGTATCAAAAATTATGGAAAGAATAAGAATAGCCTTTACACTTGCTGCCAATAAAACAGGTGACAGTACATATCTTATCAGACCATGTTTGTTATTGCATGTTTTGCTTCAAGTTTGTGTGGTTCCTGCATACTTGATGCCTTGCAAAAGGGATCTCTTTTGTGTTTGAACATCTTAACACCTCTTGTATTATTGCCGGATATTGTAACAGGCTGTTATTGCTTCATTTCTCGCACTCTCAGTACTCTACAGTTGGTCTTGTCTGTGGTGCCTCATTTGTCTTGATCCTTTTGACTACAAATCCAGACGGTCTTAGACTAATAATTATTTAATCCACACAATTCCACGTGTTTGCTCATCAATTAATCAAAGAACTGTTTCACAGCTACGGATTATCGAATTAATCAACAGAGACACGAAAATCAAAGCCATCTATTTTATTGCCAGAAATGTTATAAACATATTCTTCTTTTTTTCATTACGGTCACAGAGCCCCCCCCCCCGTGATCCGCACAGCGTGGGGAGCTCAGGACTTTAAACGTGGATAACGCTGATGCCAATACTCTGCCCGCCGACAAGGCACGTCCATCAGAATTGACAGATTGTCATCCATTCTCCCTGGCGGTTTCACCGCCGGCCTGTCGCGAGAGGCCTCAAACAGGAGCTCTAATTCTGACTCGCGCCAACACGTCGATTCACAAAAGTTGCACCCAAATTTTTAAAGAGAAACACGCCAATGTCTCCATTACGAACGTCGGGGGAAACGCAAGCCCGAGTTATTTCAGCCACTTAATCGAGATGTGAATCTGTCCCGTGTTGATAATCATTTAGAATTCATAACGCGCACAGTTTCTGTTCATTCTAGACTTGAAGCTTTCGTGACTGCAAGGAATCATATTCTTAGGTGTTTTCGGTAAAGTCACGTAGGTAAAACATCAAAATTAATAAAAATAATAAAATAAAATAAAGATCACGACGTTTCGGAGGCAACACAAGTCTCCGTCATCAGGTGGGACAGTCACAGCCAGATCAGCTGCATCAAGTGAGGCAATGATTCAAGATGTAATCCCTTAAAAGCGAGTTGATGGGGGAGGAGAGGGGGGGGGGGCTCATCAGAATGTGGTAGCCAATGAATGGAAAGTATCGGGAGAGAGGGGCCAAAAAAGGGTGGGCGACGGCGTGGAAGCTATTGTGCGCAAGCGACACACTGCTGCACACGCCAACGCATTGGACAGAGAGGGGGGAGGTCTGATACACATGATAGAAAAGAAAAGAAAATGCGTATGTTTATACCAATGCTGGCTGAACAATGAAGAGATTACTGTTGAACACTGGGGATGTTAACACTCGGTAAAGTAAAGTAAACTAGTGCCTGTCAGATAAGATGGTCCAAAAAGTGTAATTAAGTCTTTTTTGCGTGGTTAATAACATCTTTCCAATGATTACTAAGTTTGTACCCATCATCACGGTTGAAATTATGTCTGTGTTTGTATATTTGGATGGCTTCGTGTACAAACCTTTGATGGTAGCCAGGAGGTTTGCAGAGAACCTTGGTCTCGGAAAACACAATTTCATGAGAGCCCACTGAGTTGTAGCAATGATCGGCAACGGCCGAAGAATCAGTTCTGCCGTGTTGCAGATCTGACTTGTGCTCGCGGACACGATCAGCAACATGACGTTTCGTTTCTCCAATGTAGCAATCACCACAAATGCAACTCAATTTGTAGACTCCAGGATACTGTAAGTCAGGAACAGCATCCTTCACAGATGGAATCAGATCACGGATTTTATGCACTGTACTGAATCGGACTTGGATCTTATGTTTGTTTAGAATTTTGGAGATCTTTTTGGTCACGCCTGCTATGTATGGTAACGTGATAGTTTTGGTCGGAGTTTCATGTGGCTGTTTCTGCGTGGTGGGAGAGACAGCTTGGCAGATAGTACGGTCAGAGTATCCGTTCATCCTGAGGGCCCGATGTACATGTCTTAATTCACCGGCCAGGTGGTGTTGGTCAGAAATGCCATGGGCTCTGTGGTATAGCGTTTTGATGAGAGAATTCTTTTGAGATGGGTGGTGGTGGGAATCCGGTTTCAAGTAGGAATCTGTGTGGGTGGCTTTCCTGTAGACAGAATGTCCCAAGGATCCGTCAGGCCTCCTCTCAAACAGATCGGGCCCTCAGGATGAACGGATACTCTGACCGTACTATCCGCCAAGCTGTCTCTCCCACCACACAGAAACAGCCACATGAAACTCCGACCAAAACTATCACGTTACCATACATAGCAGGCGTGACCAAAAAGATCTCCAAAATTCTAAACAAACATAAGATCCAAGTCCGATTCAGTACAGTGCATAAAATCCGTGATCTAATTCCATCTGTGAAGGATGCTGTTCCTGACTTACAGTATCCTGGAGTCTACAAATTGAGTTGCATTTGTGGTGATTGCTACATTGGAGAAACGAAACGTCATGTTGCTGATCGTGTCCGCGAGCACAAGTCAGATCTGAAACACAGGCAGAACTGATTCTTCGGCCAGTGCCGATCATTGCTACAACTCAGTGGGCTGTCATGAAATTGTCTTTTCCGAGACCAAGGTTCTCTGCAAACCTCCTGGCTACCATCAAAGGTTTGTACACGAAGCCATCCAAATATACAAACACAGACATAATTTCAACCGTGATGATGGGTACAAACTTAGTAATCATTGGAAAGATGTTATTAACCACGCAAAAAAGACTTAATTACACTTTTTTGACCATCTTATCTGACAGGACACTAGTTTACTTTACTTTACCGAGTGTTAACATCCCCAGTGTTTAACAGTAATCTCTTCATTGTTCAGCCAGCATTGGTATAAACATACGCATTTTCTTTTCTTTTCTATCATGTGTATCAGACCTCCCCCCTCCCCCCTCTCTGTCCAATGCGTTGGCGTGTGCAGCAGTGTGTCGCTTGCGCACAAAAGCTTCCACGCCGTCGCCCACCCTTTTATGGCCCCTCTCTCCCGATACTTTCAATTCATTGGCTACCACATTCTGATGAGCCCCCCCCCTCTCCTCCCCCCTCAACTCGCTTTTAAGGGATTACATCTTGAATCATTGCCTCACTTGATGCAGCTGATCTGGCTGTGACTGTCCCACCTGATGACGGAGACTTGTGTTGCCTCCGAAACGTCGTGATCTTTATTTTATTTTATTATTTTTATAAATTTTGATGTTTTACCTACGTGACTTTACCGAAAACACCTAAGAATATGTTTCTGTTCATTCTCATACAGATTCAGGGGCACGGGAAACCACAGGTGGCAAGAGCCGCTGCCACCGCTGCCAACAGTTACCCAAACTCTGTCGTCCTACATTGGGATGTTTGGCCAATACAATTGTAGTGAGTCCAGTTGAGACGTTGTTCTTTAGAGGCAACACTTTTATTGTAACATCAACCCGTTAACACAAAGGGGCAACTGCCCCTTCACCAGATACAGCCTAGGGTGGTGACCACCCAGCTAACTACGCTATACTGAGGGGTTACAGCGACGAAGGGTCAGACCCTCACTCGGGTCCCCGACCACGTGTTGATTCCTCGGAGAGCTTCCAGCTTGTAGACGTGGAACTTCCAGCTTGTAGACGTGGAGCTTCCAGCTTTAGAACGAAGAACCCCGGTCCCTCCCAGGGACCCACCTTATATCCCCCTGGGTCGGAGCCGCTCCGCCCTTAGCCCCGCCCGCCTTCTCGAGTGTTCTAGCTCCCTCTCGAGAGCTCTCCCAGGACACGCAATCACCCACTAGTCCCCCCACCTGGGGGCCTCTCTGTGGACACTCCGGATCACGTGTCTACGGCGTCAACCAGAGTGCCATCGCCCGGGGCAACCCTGCCGTGGGCTGACACTCTCCCGCCCCCCCTCGTGGGAGCCCGCACTACGCGCTATGTGTGGTGCCCGCGCTATCCCAGCGCTCACCAAGCCCCGCTAGGGCTGGTACTACACACGCCTACGGGGTGTCCGCGATGACGGTGCATCGCGCACCGTGCTGTGCTAGAGCCGGCCTCACACAGCAACCCACCCGGTCAATGAGTGTTGACACACGTAAACTAAAAACTATTGAACTATGTTTATTTTACCAGGTAAAGCCCACTGAGCTACGATACAGCTCTTTTGTCAGAAGCGACCTGGCCACAAATAATAGCTCAACCAAGTGGCTTATCGTGTGGACATTTGTAGTAGTAGCCAGATACTGTAAGCGCACGTTGATAATAAATGCGGAGGGAAAAACCGGAGAACCCGGAGAAAAATCTACGTGACCACGGGGAGAGAGACACGCAAACTCTAAATATACAGCAGGCGTGGGAGGAATCGATCCTTCAAACTGCTAGATTACAGGAAATGGTCGGTCAGTCAGTGGGTCATGTGCTACGGGATAAAATGTTGGTGCTCCCACCTCTTCCAAGATGCGTGATCGGCATGGACGATTAGGCCACCAAATACCCTCTAGAGGGGCATTCTAGAGCTCCTAGTTGGGAGGTCCTTCCGCCGACAGTGGCATGAGCAAGCAATTGCAGGCTTGCACCTTTACCTTTTACCTTCGCGGGCATCCACCACCTCGCCCGGCACGTATAGCCAGCTGGCCTGACCGACAGCCATGGTCTCAATTGGATATTTTTATCCCAAGAAACAATAACGTCCCCAATGAGTGGGCTCCGGCAACTCTCAGGGTTATGAACGGCGCAGGCGGACGGTCGCCTTGTGCGGGCTCGTGACGGGAGGCGTTCGCCAGTGACAGCGTTGGCAGTCTTCGCCCCGGATAAGCGTGCGTGTTTTTATTTACACAGTTAAACTAAAAACGATGTTTTATTTTACCAGGTAAGGCCCACTGAGCTTATATCGCTCTTTTCAGAAGCGTCCTGGCCACAAATGATAGCTCAATGAAGTGGCTTATCTTGTGTAAATTTATAGCATCCAAATACTCTAAATGCACGTTGATTCTAAATGTGGAAGGACAAACCGAGATGTCATCGTGGACAATGCAGTCGATGCCACCATGCCCCACCATTGCTTCCTTCTGCCAGATCCCATAACAATTATAGTTGATAAGACTGCAAAGGGCTGCTCTTATAGTCTTCTGCAATCTGCCTTTAAGTCTTCCCCTCGGTCGCACGTCTCACAAAGTAATCCCAATTTTATAGACCCCTGGGGGTTGGTGATACTAACTAACTACTATTCTTATTCTACCAAGCAAGGCCCACTGAGCTCTATAAATCTTTTTCAGAAGCGACCTGGCCACAAATGACAGCTCAAGGAAGTAGCTTATGTCGTCATTTAAAGCAGCCAAATAATCTAAACGAATATTTCTAAATGTGTAGGGAAATAGCGGGGAGAGAGAACACGCAAACTCCAAATATACAGCAGCAGGCGTCAGGGTTGGGATCGAACCGATGACCTCCTGCGCACCAGGCGAGGTCGCGACTCTCGGTGGCGAGAGTTGCTGAGCACAGGCCCAGAGGCCAAACGCGTGAAGCGGCCGGCAACAACACAGCCACTTGCTCTCGTGTGGCGTCTGAAAAAACAATTACAGCATCGTGCACTGCACCAGCCATAATAGGTGCTCGCTAATAACACTTGCCCCAACACTCTGTTCACCCCTTTGACCTTGTGACTGTAACCTGAGCCCTCTGATCTTGGCACCACCTGCCTGGATATTGGGAAAAGATTTGAATTAAAAAAACATGCAACAAACAATCTACGGTGGAGAAACCTTCTTGTGAAAGAAGTCATGGCCATTGATGTCTCACCCGGAGCTTGAACTCAGGCCCTCAGATGTGCCGAACTGGGTTAGGTTTACTCTACCACGATGATTCTCAACCCTTTAGGGAGTCTGCTGACCTCAGTGGAGCTGTACACATGAACAAAAGCTGGGAACTTGAAGAGTGTAAAAAGACACATGGATCAGAATCGGAATATGTATTTACACTGGAGGAATCCGATGGGCTATAAAGCTTTTTTCAGAAATGTTCAGTAGGGCCGGTCAGAACGTTACAACAACAAACAAGACAAAAACACGATGGGAGTGCAAAATATAGGAAAGGTAAAAAATCACTTAAAAATATACACAAATAAAACTAAATTATTTTGTATCTAACCAGGTAAAGCCCACTTGGGTATTAATGCATTTTCCATAAGCAATCTGGCCACAAATGATAGCTCAACAAAGTGGCTTATCACATTGAAACTTATAGCAGTGAAAATGATCTAAATAGATGCATGCTCAGAATACCACTGAGAGACGAGCAAGAAGAACACACAGATGAAGGTACAAACGCAAATCAGAGACATATTGACCATTAAAGAAAGTCTGTGGGCTCGGAGGGCATGATGGCCGATGGCAGCCAAAGGAGGGAATGCACCGAGAGCACGACCACAGGAAGTGAGGCAACGAGATCATCTGGTGCGCGGGAATGGGATGGATTGCGGCATCACGGTACCACGAGAGATGGCAACGGCGTGAGGAGTCCTTCATCCAGCAGTGGATGATGAGGATGATGATAAGACATAATTATAATGGTCGCACAAGGTTAGCCCACCAGCACCTCCCCAGACAGCTCTCGCGATTACCGCCGACGGCACGCTTTGCCCGACATCTCTGCGTGCTCCCCGCGTGCTCCCTAGGCTGTCAGCAAGTACCCGCCGCTCGTCAACGACGTCTCCTTCTGGCTGCCGCCCGACGGCTACGAAGAGAACGACTTCCACGAGCTCGTGCGCAGCCTCGCCGGTGACCTGGTGGAGAGCGTCACGCTCGCCGACGACTACGTCGACAAAACGTGAGCCGCGGGGTCGCGCGCTGCCACTGCCGCCGCCACCATCGCCTGCACGGGGGCCCCCCCCGCCCCGCGTGCCGGACCGCCGAGCAGGAGGGACTCCGATAGCAGGGGATGGAACTCGGGGGAACCGGTCGTCTCCTCTCTTCTCTTTCTCTCTGTTGGAGTTTTCGTGCATGTTGGCGCAACGCTTGAGCCGGAGACTGCGAGTGGCCGAGTTTGGGCCCTGGAGCTAGATTAGATGTTGCTCTCTGAGGTGCCGCGGTGGCGAGATGTCTCTCACTCCCCGTGGTCACGTGCATTATTTTCCGGGTCCTCCGGTTTTTCCCTCCACATTTAGAAACATACGTTTAGAGTCTTTGGCTGCTCTAAATTTCCACGTGATTAGCCACTTAGTGGAGTTATCATTTGTGGCCAGGTCATACCTCAGGGGGCCTTACCTGGTTAAATAAAAATAGTTTAACGGTTTAGTTTAATAGTTTTAGCTGATGTCGATGTTAATTCATCGAGCCTGTAACGTTAAGCTATTGCACCCGAGCTCTGCCCTTTAGTGTCTGTCACAGGGTTATCACAAACGTGGATTGACTCTGCGCCAGTAACTACGAGGTGCTCAGTTTGAGCTATGGCGTTGATCGTCCCCCATTGGACCGCGTTAGGTCACTGAACACTGAAACCCTAAGTTTTGTGTTCGAACCCTGAGTCTGGAAGTCTCATGCGTGGCAGCATGGTGAACGTGGTGGGACACCAGTCGCTAGAAGCTATCTCTCTCTGCAGTTGGAGTGCTGGACCTGTCTCAGAGAGCTGATAATCCACTGAGCCAGCAGCTCCAAGGTTCTACGGTCGAGTTACCGTGAACGTGCTGTATGTATGTTGAACATCTTTGCACCGTGCGTAGCCAACCGTGCTGATCGGCGATGGAGCATTTAGCCGGAAATTATGAATCCTGTGTTCGTGGGTTCGAGCCCTGTACACTGTAACCCCACGTCTGCCCCCTCGCCCCCCACCTCGCCCCCCACCTCGCCCCCCACCTCGCCCCCCACCTCGCCCCCACCTCGCCCCCCACCTAACCCCCCCCCCGGTGTGTGCGTGGTGCAGAACGGGCCGGCGTAGCCACTGCTACCGCATCACGTACCGTCACATGGAGAAGACGCTGACTCAGCAGGAGGTGGCAATGCTGCACGAGCGCGTGGGCCGCGCCGCGCAGACTCAGCTCGGGGTCATAGGGCGCTTCTGACGGCCGCCCCCCCCCCAGCATAGCCCCACACCACCCACAGCCACCCGCCATCTCGACCTCCCAGCCTCTGCCCTCACACTTGATGCCAGTACAGCAAGTAGGTTGCTGACCTACGCGTATTGCCATCGATTCGTATAAATTCTTACGCTCACGAGACATGCATCGAATAACAAATGTGAGAATATCCGTATGTTGCATACACGGAGGCCGAGAGGAAGGCCTGGAAAAAGAGGCGGTTGGAAGTGCAAGTACAGCAAGTAGGTTAATCACCTATCAGTACGGATGTTTTGTGGGCCTCCACTGGGTGGTGCACTTGAATTATCTCCCACTCGCGAAGAAACTCGCATACATGAATTTGTCAAACGTCCCCAGCAGGACCTTCTTGATAAATACTCCCAAGACTCATTGAAGGTTTCCTTTGTAAGTGAAGTTTTGTGTTTTCAAATTAAATGTTGATAGCGAGGAAGCTGCCATCTATTACCTTTTCTACTTGCTTGGGCTTCCTTCCAAGGCATTCATCAGCCCCAATGCTGGGCTAACACACACACTTATCAATTCTTACACGACATTCATTTTGTTTGACACGTAGGCTTTCGCGACCAATATCCATAATAGAGGTTTTTGGGTTAGATCGCGTAAATATATAAATGTGTCGTTAACATGTTAAAGAAGCGCTGCAAATGAACGGTGACAATGATGCACAAATCAACAGGGCATTGAATACTAAAACCAAATCAAATAAGAGCATTGAAATTGCCCATGTAATTAAAACGATTAAAATACCGTACATTGCGGGAGTAACTGATCAATTGGCCAGATGTTTGGAAAAACAAAACATCAGAGTCAGATTTGGGACGGTATGTAAAATACAGAAATTAATATCTGGTATAAAAGATGTATTGCCGAAGCTATCATCAGAAGGTGTGTACAGGATTAACTGCACGTGTGGTAAATGTTACGTGAAATATTACATTTTCCCAAATACAACTGTCAGCAGTAGCAGAACACGCGTGCCAACAAGGACACTCAATTGATTTTGATGATGTTGAAGTTTTGTGCAAAACTAGCTACTACTGGCCAAGATTAATTAGAGAATCTATCGAAATTGAAGGAAATCTAAATAACTTTAACCGTTCGGATAGGTACCGCCGTAGTGCTGCGTGGCAGCGAATTATCAATACATTATTTAAATGCATGCCTCCAGAGGGCAGGGTACTTCAATCGGGATTACCGTTGGTAGGGCTATTTTAATAAACACAATAGACAGGAAGTACAAATTCAAAGGGCTCGCATAATGCACATGCATCATGTACGTTGCCTCAGTAACCCCCCCCCCCCCCACATTGTGCAAGAGCGCAGAAGGGTGGCCTCTATATAATGAACGAAACAGGTGGAAACAGGTGGACTTCTCCACAAATCTGACTGCCGACTGATGAAGCTGGTTGTAATTACTGGCGAATCGTCGTACTCAGATTGTAAATGTTGTGGCTTTGCTCTCCAACACACCGCGATGTGCTGTACTCGTGACGAATTGGCACGTTCTGTTTACGTGACAACCCTTACTAGTTGGCTGTGTCGGGTGGTGGCGGTTTCAACGACATTCATATATTTACGCGATCTAACCCAAAAATCTCTATCATGGATGACATTTATTTTACATTCAGAGCAGTAAGAGCTTTGTTTTCTCGGAAAAAAATATCTTTGTATCGAACAAAAACATGTAATGAGTTGAGTTTGTGTTGCTTACGACTCAATCCAGGTAAATCCCAGAAACCAAGCAGGTTTGAGCCCGGATAGTGCTTGGATGCGAGCCCACCATGCATACAGCGGGTGTTGTCAGCAGCTCAGGGACTACTTTGTGGGCAGCAGAGCACCTTGCAACGAAATCAGTTCTTGTACTGTACTTCAATGCTCCCACATATGCCACCCGCCTTCACCAAACTGCACTGACCAGCGTGATGAAGAATGGCCAAATAGTCCCTGCCCCTCCCCTCGTCCAGCAGCAAATTGACATTGTACGTCGTCTGGCCTTTGGGAATCCTCACGTTTGCGGCCCTGAAGAATTGGGAGCTGCGGGTAACGAGGCACTCGGAAGCCATCGCCGCCTCCAAGGGAGCCGCCACGTTGACGGCTCTCCTGGGCACGGCTGGGCGTTGACCGCCATCACCAATGCCCCCTCTGCCTCCTCTCATTATGAATGTTGTCATTATTACCCTGCGTTTACATTTCAAACGCTGCGTGGCACGACATTATTTTTGTAGAAAATAAACGGAAATCGATCGCCTTATTGCGGACGGAATTGCGTGCGACTTTTTTTCTGACGTTCGCGACGTTAAGAATTTAAAATCGTGGTTTCTTTTTTACTTGCGTAGTCATTGGTTGCGAGTTTAAATCACGGGTCAATGATCTCAGCCCATCCTTTCTCTCTCTGGGGTTGATAAAATAAGGAATGCTCTGGGAATTCCGCCATGGTTGTCATGAATGGCCCCTGTAATGGGAATGTGGGGATTCTGCCACTGGCTCATTGCAGCCATTAAAGACTCTCCCCTGGCTAAGGATTTTTTTAGTAGATATTTGTTTCTATAAGAGTTTTTCTCTTATTTCACAATTGTTTTTTTTAAATGTTACCTTTATTCCACTATTGTTCACCTATTGAGTAGAAATGTACGATCAGGATTTAGCACCGGGATTCTGGAGTTGAGAATAATCGCTGGGAGCGTGGCAGCACGGGAAGAGGTTGGATTACAACCACGGTCTACATCAAGACATGGAGTGCATTTGATCTGAGAGGAACGGAGTTGGTTATCACCATGTGCTCTGCCATTAACCCAGTTGATTTGCTACAATCCAGGCTCTTGAACGGAGCGATCCCGCGCGGGTTTTTCACACCGCTGAAATCCACTCTTGTGTTCGTTGGCAGGTAATGGATGACCACAGGTGAAGCAGTGGGTTTGTTTGAATGATTAGGCGTAGGACAGCCTGGAGTAGAGCACTCGTGGCAACGCGTTTGGGCCCGCGGGGCCTTTTCGTGACGCGGGAAGAGGTTTTTTCACCACAGCAAAGAATTCCTCGTCCTCATCAGTCTGAAATGTCATCATTGCGGTCGGCTTGAGAGACCGTGTATCGCAGCGTGGGCAGGTGTGCCACACGTTCCATGATTTGCAGCTCAGTTTACAATCCCATCCAAGAATCGGCACTGGTATCGGGAATGTGCTGCTCATTTTTATTAGGTTATTGTATATTGGCACAGCGTCGGAATGGTGTTGTCATGTATATCGCCACGAAGTTATGCAAATGTTGGGATAAATGAGCACCGGCATGTGTTGACTGCACAGTCGTGTTCGGAGCCAATGGACAAAGTGTGGAGTCGACTCGTGGCGTCGCTATCGGGTCGTGTGCAGGCGGTGCGACTGCACCGGGGCAACTGTGCCAAAGGGACCTTGACACCGCACTCGGAAGAGAGAGGACATTCGATCGGCTGATGTGATCTAAACCAAGCTAAACTCAGCAAAAAAAACACGTTTATTTTACCAGGTAAGGCCCAGAGCTTTCTAGCTCTTCTTAAGAAGCGACCTGGCCACAAATGATCGCTCAACGAAGCGGCTTCGTGGGCCTTACCAACATTTATACACGGTATTGTCGGCTGCTACGTGGCTAGACTGTCAGTAGAGAGCAGTGCAGCAAAATCAATTCCTGTGTTGTACTCTGGGCCAAGGCCCCACCTTCACCAACCCGCTCCGACCAGCGTAGGGTCAACCCCCAAGACCTGTTCAGGCGTGGGGAGGCTCTTATCCAGCTGCATGTCGGGACTATACAATCCAGTGCACAAGTAAGAATGTTAACGGGAGCAGCTCCGCATTTCCCAAAGCAGAATTGCATCTTAACGGCCACTGGCGACAATCACGTGTGCTGTGATTCATGTGTTAATTTTACACTCGCCTCCTGATTACAAATGTGATTGCATAGACGCCATTACCTGTAACTAATTTCTACTTAAAACATTACCTGCTCCCTAACCACATTTATTCGACAATGTGCACGTGCACACGCCTGTCTCTAACGACCAGCAAATGCACTGAGTTTATATTCGTGAAGTAGCGACTCGCTGGGGACCGAGGTACAAGCGAATAAAACGTGGAAAGGTTGGAATTGAGAAAATGTTTAGAAAATTGCAACTCCACCATAAACACATCGTGCACTGGCTGTGGGTCGGCTAACTGGTCGAGTCGGACATGTGGCGGTGTGGATCTTCTGTGTTGGAGTGCGGTGTGGATCTTCTGTGTTGGAGTGCGGTGTGGATCTTCTGTGTTGGAGGGCGGTGTGGATCTTCTGTGTTGGAGTGCGGAGTGGATATTCCGTGTTGGAGGGCGGGGTGGGTCTTCTGTGTTGGAGTGTGGTGTGGATCTTCTGTGTTGGAGTGCGGGGTGGGTCTTCTGTGTTGGAGTGTGGTGTGGATCTTCTGTGTTGGAGTGCGGAGTGGATCTTCTGTGTTGGAGTGCGGTGTGGATCTTCTGTGTTGGAGTGCGGTGTGGATCTTCTGTGTTGGAGTGCGGTGTGGATATTCCGTGTTGGATTGCGGTGTCGATATTTTGTGTTGGAGGGCGTTTATATTTCATAGAGCTGCGGCCAACGCGTTGGGCATGGATGGCAGTGCAGTCAAATCCATAGTTGTACTCTACTTCTATGCTTCCATGTATGCGCTACCCATCTTCAACCCACACTGGTCAGCATGGTGAAGTATGGTCAAACAATAACGCCACTGGTTATAAAAACGGCCCCTGTGGAGAGGCCGCGTGCAGCAGTGGGCTGACTGAAGGTTCTGTACATGCGCACACAGTTTTCTCAATCCTATTAATTTTCCAAACCACTTTTATGCGAATGAACGCCGTATGGATTCATTTCAGCTGGGTCTGTCCGAGTGGGCAACCTGGAAAAGATTGATGCAGTACCTGACACGCCATATCCAGTATACACTATCGCTGTAGCTGTGGCTGCAACAGGCCACGTACCACACCTCCTGTAGTCCGCCAGCAACTCGGAAGATATTCGGCGAGAATTTAAGTTCTGAATAGTCGATTTGAAACACGTGGCAATATACTTCCAACAAAAAAGTGGGACGTATGTTGAACTTCTTGCGTAGCCAACCGCGCTCATGGGAGACGTGGGGGAAAGACAACAAACTAGACGCAAAAAAGCAGCTGTCAAGAAATGCGTATTCATTCTCGAGTTCATTGGTACCCCAGTGAACAACGATGAGCGTGGAGTGGGGGGGGGGCAGATACGTTCTCCGTGTGACTACACAATGGCCATTGCGAGTGAGAGGCACCCTTGGGCCCAAGGAGAGTGAGCGGGTGAGTGAATGAGTCGAGTGAGTGAGTGAACGAGTGAATGAATGAGTGAGCGAGTGTGCAAAGTGAGAGGGAGAATACTCGCGGTTGAGTGAGTCATTCAGTGAGTGACCATGCCAGGGAATGAGTCGAGTGCGTCAGTGAACGAATAAGTGTGAGGGGGTGTGAAAATTTGGAGACGACGCGAGGTTGAGTGAGTGAATGAGTAATTGCGTGAGCATGAGAGGGAATGAGCCGAGTGAACGAATAAGTTGGTGAGGGGGTGTGCAAATTGAAGGAGAGCATACGCGAGGTTGAGTGAGTGAGCGGACGAATGAGTAATTGGGTGAGAATGAGGGGGAATGAGCCGAGTGCGTGAGCGAATGAAGGGGCAAACGAGTGATCGAATGAACACATTCGATGAGTGAGCGGACGAATGAGCACTTGAGTGAAGGAACGAGGTGAGTGTGAGGGAGACTGAGGTGGGTGTTTCGTGATCGATCGCCGCAGGGCGGGGGGGGCGAAGGGAGCACGAGCCGCTCGTTCATCACGAGCGGCTCGCGCCTCACGAAGGGCGACGAGGAGGAGGAGGAAGGGCGAGGAGGAGGAAGGAGGAGGAGGAAGGGCGACGAGGAGGAGGAAGGGCGACGAGGAGGAGGAGGAAGGGCGAGGAGGAGGAGGAAGGAGGAGGAGGAAGGGCGAGGAGGAGGAGGAAGGGCGACGAGGAGGAGGAGGAAGGGCGAGGAGGAGGGGGAAGGAGGAGGAGGAAGGACGCCTCCACCACGGACACTCCTCGGGGCCTTCGGCGGGATCACGGGAATCCACCAGCCGTGTCAGTCGCGAGAAATAATGCGCAGGAATTCTGCGGGAACATTCCCGGGAACACGACGTGTTCTGAGGAGCTCGGCGAGAAATGAAAGAATCCTCGGGTTACTGTGGGTATGTGTGTACACGCGGGGTGTGTGTGTGTACACGCGGGGCTTGCGTGCACACGCGGGGTTTTGTGTACACGCTCGGCCCGTTTAAGAATAAAATAACACCCACAACCCGCCCAGACAGCCTATAATGGTTTGTATGTTTTTTTTTACTTTTTCCTATGATGGCACGCAAGCAAGTGTAATGTGTTTAACCAGTCCGCATCCTGATGATGAAACTCGAAAGATATAAAAACTTAGCATGGGGTATCATGCTTAATAGATGCTGTTGGCTAAACATCGGTGCAAAGAGGACATATCTGAACGTCAAAATTAATCTACATGTTTCTAATGATCTGCTTGTTTATGTCTAATTATTTTTTTTTGTGGTAATACATTTAATTGGTGATATAAATAATTGAATGTGAATGTTTGGATTATATTTGTGTTCCCTATTGAAATGTGTCACGTCACGGGACCCTGAGAGATGGCGATGGCTTAGGGAGGAGACCTTCATCCAACAGTGTATTGATCAAGGCTGATTATGATGTATGCAATGCAATAACGTGGAGAAAAATAAACTTATTAAAAAATGCATCGACATGTTTTTTTTTTCAACATAATGCCCGGGAAATGTATTTACAAAAATAATATTATTCGTAAAGAAATATTACATTTCAAAAACAATGCAATAATTTTAAACAATTGTTGGTACTATAATTTTTCTTGGAGAATGGCTTCGGTCTAAAATGAGTAAATAAAAACGTAAAGGATTGTGTGCTTGGTGTGGATCAAATCATACTTTAACTCCACTTACATTGCCTCGAATATTGCAGCCAAAATTGTTACAAAAAGGTGGTGGCTGGCAAAAGTTTTTTTTCAAGCATTAAACTTATACACGTGACCTTAAAAACCTGGGGGAAAAGAATGATTTTATATTCGTATCACCCACGTTCTAGAAAACACATCAATTTTGTGGCTAAAGAGAAACAAACGCAATGACTATATTCGCCAATATTTCTTCAGCCTCATTTTCACGGCATGGC